ATTTCCAGTTACCGTTTGCCACACAGTTTCCTTTCACCATGTCCTTGTAGGGGGATTAATTCTAGTCCACTAAGTCCACAAGAGCAAGGAGATGTGGGATGGACTTTATCCTGCTTCTCACACAAATCGTCTAATAATACACAGTTAAGGCCTGTGAACCTTTACTCTTCCCTTGCGGACATCCTTGGACGTGTCGTAGGTGTTTCATGGTGCGAGTGACGCAGGTGGGCTAATGGTGTCACCTCAGGCTCAGGGCAGGCCTTCTCCTCTTGCTTTCTGATATGACTCTTGGTTTGGACCCAATCTTCCTCAACTTCTCTCAAGGGTTCTTTTCTCAAGTGACACCCCTCGGCGGAGAGTCAGGGAGAAGGGGGCCCTAAAGAAGATGACCCTTAGGTGGGGCATGCCAGGCATGTATTGTGGGGTCAGGGCACAACCCTGTGGAGCATCAACCTACTCTTTCCTTTCACTCTCCTCCTCCCATTTTCCCCAATTGCTCCTCCTCAGTATCCTTTATATCCTGCTTTCAAGGAGAGAGGCTGAGAGGCTTCTGGAATTTTCTGCCTCAGGCATTGAAATAACTTGGTTGGCCTTGGGTTCATGACTTTATGAGGATGGCTGCTGTTCACTAATTCATCTCAAATAATGAAATATCTTGGACTGGCTTTGCTATGAGCTTTATAACTGGAGAGAAGAGCTTTTGATGCGCTGGCATCTCATTGCTGCACTGTCCTTCCCACAGGGGGTTGGCTGTACTAATTTAGTATCTTTTTTTGTATGAGGGGGCCAGACCTCCCTCCCACCCCTATGGGCCATTTTCTAAATATCAGGTGAATTCTGTAATATTCCTGTCCTGTCCAGACCAAGTTCTGTCTCTGTAATTTTAATTATGTTTATGTTAGGTTGCTTTAACGTTTTTTGTTGGTTGGCTGCTGACCTGGAAAGGAGAATATAGTGGCTGAAAAGCAAAATCCAGCTGGTATTTCCATATAGAACAGAACAATTAAATCAATAGGGTTTATGTAAGGGGTTTCCCGTCATCCATTATCCAATGGGCCAACTCTACTTAAGACTCAGAACTGGATTTAAACCACAATGTCTATCAACCTTTGTTGTGGCAGTAAACTCATGTAATTATTTATTTATTTATTTATTGAATGTGTTCCCCGCCGATTTAGTCAACTGACTACTCTGGGCGGCTAACAACATATAAAATAGACATTTAACTTGTGTGTTGTAGGAAGCAGATAGGGATGCCAGGTCACAGGGTTTTGGCTGTAGTCTCACAAAATTGTTACACTTCCCCGGGTCTCTATACAAGCATATCAGTCTCAGAATAACAGGTGCTAGAGGTAGAAGGTGCTTATTGTGTGTAAAGTAGCTTTAAAACCTGGACACACCAACACTCAGTAGCTCAGTGCAAAGAAATCTGTATGTGTGTTGCATTTGTGCAAAGCCAGAAGTGAAGGAAGTGGGGATGGAGTTGGGGATGGGGAGGGGGGTAAGGGTGCATGCACTTGGGCCCACATGACACTGGGAGCAAGGCAGGGAGCAGAGTGCCAGCATCGTCACTCCTGAGGCTTTTCATTGCATAAGCAGCACTGGCACAGGGCCATGGATCCAACTGTTGCTTGCCCTACATCCATGACCTCACAAGGACCCAGCCCACGGCATCACGAGGAACTGCCCCAGGTCTCAGATTTTGGCCCTGAAATTTGAAAGAACAGGATGCTGCTGACTTTGCGTCTCTGCACACAATACTTCCTTTTCTCTGCCCCCATGATCTTTTCCCACAAATAAAAGGGCTCAGAATGCTTTGACACCACAGTCCTGATATACCTACTTAAAAGTAAGCTCCGCTGAATTCGATGGCACTCATTCTCAGGGATGTGGCCAGAGCACTGACTGCAAGTCTCTTCCTAGAGAAAGTCTGGAACCAGCGGCGCTGTTAATTTGGTTTCCAGACATTATGGTCTTCCTCAGATTTCCTCCTTAAAGGAAATATATATTAAGTTACTTCAAACACAGTAAGCAAACCATGTTGCATTGGAGCCACGGATCATTTTACTTCCCGGGGCCCTGGATGTCTGCCCCAAAGTTCTGCCCTGTATGACACCATTGTATCCAGCCTCTTCATGGTCCTTAATTATATCCTTGACAACTTTGTTATCATTTTTTGAGATCACAATAACCTTACCTTTTTTGTTCTAACTGTCTGGTATACAGTGTTTGGCTGCCTTTGAACACGGAAGCGGAGTTATGATTAGGCCCATGTGCCAGTAAGGTGCCTAACTCATGATCTCTTGTTTTTTTTTTCCAAATCTGTGCTAGAAATCATCACCAGATTTAGTAGCAATACTTTCTGTAGTTTATTACAGAGGTGGTGAAAGTAGCTTTTTTAAATACCCCACTCAAGACAGCCAGTAGTAAACCCAAAAAGTAATTTTCCTATCTCTGGTTCATTATGCATTGATCCAGGTGCAAAAGTACTGATTTTAATCTACTGACATTGAAGAGAAGGTTCCCAGCTCTTGATGCAAAAAAGCACACAAGCTATTTCAGCTGACCTCCAAGTTCATCTCTCTTTCCATAGGGCCACCCTAGGCAGACTCATGCCTGCTCAGTTCAATAATACACTATGGTAGGGTTCCCAACCTTGAGTCCCCAGATGTTCTTGGACTAAAACTCCCAGAAACCATCAACACCAGCTGTGCTGGTCAGGATTTCTGGGAGCTGTAGTCTAAGGACATCCGAGTTATCCAAGGTTGGGGAGCACTACTTAAACTTAAGTCCCCTCCCCCTATCTTCTGGGAATTACCCTCGTTTTAAAATGTCAGAACGCAGAGACATCAGTGTTTGGAAAATAAAGCATGTTTTTGCTGAACAACTTCAAGCAAGTAAATGTATAAAGAAAGCTGACATTCAAAGAGAATAAACCACATTGGAATCACAAACATCTCTCTTCCAAGCATGTGGGTCTCTGAAGAAGCCACACACACTCAAAAAGAATGACAGGGACAAGTTGCCATTTAAGCCACTCTCTTAAAGAGATAGATCAGGATTCATGCTGCTGTATTTTGACCAGGGATGTGCTATTCAAAGTTCACCCTCCCCTGGAAAAATACTCAAAGCCATATTCTACTGAGAAACAGTCTGAACCAAAGAAGAGAGGTAGAGTTTTCACCCTATCACTGCTACCCAATATTGCCCACTTGAGTGAAAGACGCCTTTCAAGCTTTGAATGGTGGCGGGACTGAGAGATGCAACTGCAGTATCAGTTAATAACACCCATTTTTTTAAACAAAATGTAGTAAAAAACAACAACCTAAAAACCCAGAACCTGGTATGGCAAGTCCCTTAGTAGTTTGCCATTGGCCGTGCTAGCTAAGACTTTTGGGATTTGAAATCCCAACTATCTAGAAGGTGAAAGTTTCCACCCTCCTATTTTCTTGGAGCATGGCTGAATGAAGGATGTGTTAATGAAGGATGTGTTAGTTTTGTTAAACCTGGGATTTTTTAAAAGGAGGGTATATTTTAAAAGATACTCTCTATCTTTCTGTAGCTTTCATTCATGTGAAAACTGATTTCTGAGTAGTCACTCGATCTGCCTGCATATGTTAGCCTCATGTACAGCTACCATGTCCAGATTAAGTACTCTCTGTGGGCAGGCAAATAACTACAGCATAACTAGCTGACCACACGAGGGGTAACATCTCCTAGGCTGATCCTCAGTGCTCTCTTTTGAATGTACATGATCTCAAGGAGGGGGACCAGGCAACAGTCTCCCTTTTACATTATTCAATTCAGAGTGAAGAGAGTTGGATTCTTCTAGAAATCTGGAGCAGCAGCAGGTAAGAAAAAACAAGGTGTAGAAATCCAGCGTTCATCCAGGTGTCCAATTTTTTAAAAAGTTTGCCTGTCTATGACTTTGCTTTTGGTATGACATTCAGTTCAAGAATTCAGCATGGCTCACCCCTTCCCCCTTCAATGACTGAGATTTCTGCATGGAAGACACCACGCCCTGCAAAAGAAATCCTCTTCTGAAGACAATCCAGAGTCTGATGCCTGCTCTCTGTTGGGATCGTGCTCATCTTTACTTTGTATTGCCTTTTGTTTGGACCTGCAGGCCTAGACTGTGGACTGGCTTTTGCCCTGCCTTCTGAATTAGTTCAGAAAAAAGGCAGAAGAGAGCACCCTTCGCCACATTTTGCAATGCCCCCCACTCATCTACCAAACATTTATTCATATCCTTTGTTTCTTGCACTGCCACCACATCTACGCTTCTTAGCCTGGAGGAAAGCAAGGCAGCTGCAGAGGCACTCTCACCAGATCATTCTGACTGCAACTCTCCTGATAAAGATCACAAGCCGGGATCATCTGTCCGGAAAGTTGAACAGCTCCACAATCAGCTGGACCTACAGCAGGTGCAGCAAATGTCAGGCTTGCAGGATTTATTTCAGGCTTAACAGAACCCTGATATCCACCAGTTAGAGGCCACTGCAAATGGCACTGAGGATGAAAGAATTCTGACCCAAAGGGATTTGTTTTCAACACTAGTCAAAATGGTGTCCTTCCGCACACAAAGGAGCTCCTGGATACTGCATACTTTCTTAATTTCAGCAATATAAATTTGAGGGCGAGATTAGTTTGTGGGTAATACTATATTGTCAAACAGTAAGGAAGCAGAACTCCTGATTGATCTATTGCAAATCAATCAGAGATCTAACAGGAAATCCAGAGTGAACTACCAGCTGTGAATCACTCACTCATCCAGATGTTCCCCAGTTTGGGAATTCCTATGAAGTTCTGACTTAATTTTGTACATAGCTAGATTCTCACTGCTGATTAAACAGTCTTCTATACAAATGTTGTTTCCACCCCTACTGTGCTGATGTGAGGTTCCCCTTGAACGAAAGACCAGTAGAACTTCCCTATTCTTCCCAGTGCATCCATGTATATGTGTATGTGTGTGTGTGTAAAAAATAATAATTTTTCTTCAGTGATTTAAAAAGTCATTTAGTTTAATAGTGCTCTGTATAATTATAATCATCATCATCATATTCACAAGAAAGAGATATAAATTATGCCACTAATCTGCTTAGATACTGTTTACTGGGCCTGTTACTGTGTATGCGGAGACAAGTGTCTCGAACAAAAAAGGTTGAAATGAATGAGGGTTTTCGAAATGAAATAAGAATTTCTGCGCAGATGCTGTTCTGGTGATGGTTCTAATGATATCTTTTCAAAACAAAACAAAAACCCCACAGGAAGACCTTTAAAAGGGGGATGGTAGGGGTGGTGGCGATGGTGGTGCTTCATCTGACACAGAAGCTAAACGTACATGTATCCCTAACTCCTTCACAGCTCCAGTACGACACTCAGGGAGGACACAGCCGACGTGTACACGATTGCATCATGTGAGGCAAAAAGGCTGGGGTACATCAAAACATGAGAAAGTCCTTCCCGTTTCCGGCCTTCCACTCCAGTCATCACTGTAAAAGGACCGGGCAGGTGCAGAGGGAAAATTAGCCACAAAGTGCTCACAGCAGCAACGCAGGGTGTCTACAAGGCTCTTGGTGCAATGCTTGGCCTTCAAGGGATCTGAAACACATTGAGTTTGCTGGTGTTTTTAAGTGTCTGTCGCCGATTGCAGAACCAGACCCGAACCACTTCCCGGTCGTAATTGAGCTCCTTGGCGATCTCTGTGATCTCCTGGCCCGTGGGCAGGGCGTTCTTCTCAAAATAGGCGTTGAGGGCTTCGATGGCCTGTGGCGTGAAAGAGGTGCGCCGTTTGCGCTTCTTGGAGGGCTCACCCCCCACAAATTCCATCAGGTTCTGCTGACCTTCCTGGTTCCGCAGCTCCGCCTCGCTCAGCCATTTCTCCAGCACGGGCTTCAACTTCTGGGCACTCTTGGGAGTGATGTCCAGCTTCTCAAACCTGTAAAGTCATCATCACCATCATGATCATTTTAGAACTGCACAGCTGGAAGGGAGCCTATCAGGGAAGTACAGTGGGGGAATTGAACTCCCAACCTCTGGCTCCACAGCCAGATACCTAAACCACTGAGCTATCCAGCAGTCAGCAGGAACCTCCTGATCAAACAAAGGGGGAACCAAAGCCTAGTTCATACTGAAGACACAGACATTTCAGTCCAGGGGAGTCCATTCTTTAGCCCAGACCAGAGCAATAGGCTCTGACATTATTTTGTAAAAACTGGCTTTGATTGGGTCAAAATGACTGATTTCTTCTGAAAGCCTCTATAGCTAAACAGCCATGATCTGCTCAAGCACCTGGCTCAAAAAAAAAGAGAGATTAGGAACCAGGCAGTAGCCACCGAGGACTTCAGGATCTACGCTGTTTTCTTCTTCTTCTGGAAATACTATACCTAAGCCTCTTTCCAGAGTAAGAGACTGTCAAGCATGCATTGACCATTCCCCTAGATTTAGAGAGGCTGCGAAAGTTTCAGCTTCGCTTTCAATCCACTCTTCTTGACACCCACCCACCCACCCTTGCTTTGACAGAACTGGTAAACACACAGGTACCACATTCTTTCGTATGGCCTACTACCATGTTCATGCCTGAGGGGTTCTACATAAATCTTAAAAATAAAAAAAAACAAGTGAAGGAGTCGAGGAGAACCTTCAAATTTGGCCTACCTGCATATAGCGGATTGGCTGTACGCAGGGCCCTCCGTAGCAGTCAATGCCTGCCCCACCTGTGTCTGTGTGAGACCCAGAGACAGGCGTCGGATCTTAAAGTTCTTGGCAAACTCTCTAATCTCCTCCAGGTTTATTCCATCTTCATCATAAAAAAAAACAAGTGAAGGAGTCGAGGAGAACCTTCAAATTTGGCCTACCTGCATATAGCGGATTGGCTGTACGCAGGGCCCTCCGTAGCAGTCAATGCCTGCCCCACCTGTGTCTGTGTGAGACCCAGAGACAGGCGTCGGATCTTAAAGTTCTTGGCAAACTCTCTAATCTCCTCCAGGTTTATTCCATCTTCATCGCTTCCACTGTTTGGGGGCTGAGGCTCTAATGTGGGAAAGGAAGCAATGGGCCACCAGTTAGACAATGCAATTGTCTCTGTTAACCATCTCTAGGAAATTTACATGCAAAGTCCTAGCTTTCTTTATATTGGTGAAGGTGTCCCTTCCTACGCTGATGGACTAGGACGGCAAATCTTTCAGACTCACTGGATATGCTGGCTGAGAACTGGGGTTCATATCTAGAGCGGGGGGTAGCTAACATGACCCCTGCAACATCCCTGGGGCTACCAGTATCCCTGCATGACCTCCCCAAGCTTAAAAGAAAAAAGTTGGGAGCTTTAAATATTTGCTTATATTCTCTGGAGGGCATGGCCATTTTGCCAAGATTTGAGAGGCTCCAGAAGTGCTGGGATGACTCAGAACCCACCCGTCACCACCTTTAAAAGTTTTTTTTTAATACTTTAAAGATATTTTAAGTCATCAGATGGTGCAAGAAGGCTAAGTCATACAGCTAAGCAGTCATCATCACTAAAGACGAACAGAGAAGACCCTGGCTACTGGGATATCTGGCATATCTATATGATGGGCATCATTCATAAGAGAGGCCAATACAAGCTTTCGTGTAGGTATAAATGCTGACCTCCATAAACAGATCAGAGGCTCCCTTGGATCATCTTCTAAGGCAGTGGTTCTGAGCCTTGGGTCCTCAGAAATCCTGGCCAGCATAGCTAGTGGTGAAGGATTCTGAGAAACTCCAGTTTGTGACACCGCCACAAATAGACAAAAGACAATTATCATGAACCTTTTCATTCATCCCAGCCTGGTGATATTCACATTCTACAAGCTAGAATAATAATTGCAGAGGGGCTTACTGGAAACCAGCTGGCTGACGGTTGGGGTCTCTGAGCAGGTGATGGGCACAGGTGCAGAAGCTATTTTGGCTGTGGGGGTGGGGCTCGCAATGACCACAGCTGGCTGGGGTAAAGCTGGGGCAGGCTGAATGGGCTGGACCTGGCAACACGGCAAAAGAAAGTGACATTCAGAAGGAAACCTTCTCAAACAGTGCAGTTTGGAGCACAGCCTGATTTAACAAGGTTGTTCACAGTCACAGCTAAGCATGGCAAATTAAGTAAGTGTGTCTACTTGTGGGAGAAGGCTATATCCCTTTATCCAGAAGCCCTGTTCCCCAACACAAATTAGATGAATTATAAGATTGCAACCTAGCAGGCCCTGAGCGGCAGGATACGTTCCAACTCTTCCCACTTCACCAGTGAAACAACAGTCAATCAAAACACTAATTCTGCACTAGCTCAGCCCCAGACACATATCTTGATCCTTCCCTAGACTTCGGGAGAGTGGCCATCTTTTTTCATTTGGAAAATAACTTGTGTTTTTAAAAAAATTAGCGCTCTTTCAAAAATGAGAATTTGTTCCAGTGACGGAGCTGGAGTGGGTCTGGGGGAGTGAAGCATCTTGCTGACAGCAGCAAAGCGTGGATTTAAAAAAAAAATTCATGGACTAGGACTCCACACAAATTTGCAGGAATTCCCTCAGTCTAGCCAGAGGCATTTCTGCATACTTCTAGGAGCTGCAACCCATTAATTATGAAAATCCCATGCCAGTCAATTAGTGCCACCCAGAGCTGGCCTCATCTGCAGAACCAGCAGAATCTTCCAGTGATTGATCTGAAGGGTGGGGGAAATGTACACTGCCACTGAATGCTGTGAAGGTATTTCCCAAGCAAACTGATAACTCAAAAAATGATACACCTCTCTTTGCCTTTACTCGGGATGGGGTTATTTTGACCTGTTCTGTGTTGTATCAGTTGATAACGGCAGCACCTAGTGATGGACTCAAACAAAAGCACGAGCTGTCTCAGGTGAAGGGACACTGACAGAACATTTGCTTTGTCTCAACTGAGTTAAAATTGAACACTGAGTTAAAATGTATAGGTTTAAATGCAAAGTCATCTTGGGTCAGGGTTTGCCCTCCAAGATGTTCCACTACAACAGAAAAGATGGGCTGGATCTGCCAAAATTTCTCTGGCAACTTCTTGGTGTGAGCTGTTTGACGTCTACATCTTTCTTCTCCCCGAGAAGCCTCTCTCCTGAGGATCAGGAACTGAACCCTCCTGAATGAACCGAGCTGTGTGTGAGAGTGTCCCTGGGGTTGCTGTGGCACGGGCACCCTCCCCAAGCATAATGGGACCGAGGCATTTTCTCCCAAGTCCTTCCATCCTCCTCCAGGAGCCCATCATATGACACCCCCGTCCTTCAAGAGCCCTGTCCCCCGTCCAGTTCTCAGGAGGTTCTGCTTTTCAGAAGGAAAAGGAAGGGAGCAGGAAAGGGCCCTTTCCTCCAACCTTCTTCCATGAGAAATTCCTACGTTCTAATCAAAGGGATCCATTCCACCACCACCTTCTCCATGGGTGCCAACTCAAGTAAGCTGGCTCTTTTGCTGCATGACGATGATTCCCCTCAAGATTGATCCACCCAGACTCATCAGGCCTTGATAGCGGAAGGAGCAGCTCACCTCCGTCTTGGCTGGAGACTCCGGGGTGCTCGGTTTCCTCACAGCTGTTGCTGCCTGGATGGTGCTGTTGGCCAAGGTGGCGATGACTTGGCCTTGTGCGTTCAAGAGCAGCTGCGGGGTCACTGCCTGCACCTGCAGATTCTGTGCCTGCAATGGGGCAGGGGCAGCTGTGGCAATTCCAGTTGGGTTCACCACCCAGGGGAACGTCCCAATAACCTTAAAGGGAAGACAGAGGAAGATGCGTCAGCACAGAGCACAACAAGCCCTCTGATCTCTCCCCTTCGTACTCCCAGCTCTCAACAGGGAGCATGGTTTAGACTGATGAAACTTAAGTGAGAGTGCTAAGAGAAGGAGCAGTGCTTGAGAAGGGATTCGGGGGGTGGGGTGGGGGAGGAGAAGAACTCACAGCTTCATAAACATATACAGTAATACCTTGTTTCTGTTCCAAGAAAATGGAATGCTAAGCAAATCAGCACCAAATAGGGTCATTTTAACAAATTGGTACAGATTGATGAGACAGTGGTGCTGTGAGAGTACTGCTATAAGCAATGCATCTGGGAAATGATTGTTCAGCCTGTTCTAGATGGGTCTATGCTCCCACCAAGAAAGCAGGTCTTTAGCATGGAGGAACATGCAAACGGTTCCTCATTAGCTACCCGTTACTCAGCACAGTGAGCCATTCAGCCGGGAAAACCCACATCAACCATCGTTCCGTTTCACTTAGGCACACATAAATCACCGCAGGTTAGCAACAAATAGGGCTGAAGAAAGCCATTTTGTGCTATTTTTTATTTGGTATTTCTTTTCCCAAGTTTATAGTCCTAATTCAGCTAATGTTTTGTTATTTTTTTGCCTGCTATGGCCAGGCAACTCTTGGTAACCTGAGGCCTTGCTGTAGTGAGCCCATGCCACTCCTTCCAGCTAGGGCACTTCCAGCCATAGACCCACAATAACGCCAGAAGGCCTCCGTCTGTAGAGTATATTTCAGGGGATTTGGTACAGGCCTGCTATTTTATCCCTTCAGAAAGAAAAACAAAAATAAAGAAAAAACACACACACACACCCAATGTACGTATAGACCATGTAAAACTTATATAGATTCACCACAACCATTCACATTAAGGGCCGTGTACACATGAGCAGAGTAAGAGAAATTGTCTGCATTTTGCAATTCCACAAGTGGAATTGCAAAATTTCCATAAGCAAGGAAAATGGTACTCTATGGGAAGCCACCCTCCCACCCATCCGTACTCATTCTAAAGTAAGATCCTAACCCTTACAGCTCCCAAAGAGTGTTCTGAAAATGGATTTTTAGTGGCCAATCCAGTTATGTAAAATAAGAAAATATACATGGTCCAGTTGTTCCTTACACACAAGCTGGGCAACTTGAATGGGGAGTTTTGCTTTGAAAATGAACAAACAGAAATATGCAGTCACTCCACAAAAGGAAGAGGTGTTTTTGTTTTTTCCCTCAGAGCACAGTTCGTCAGCCTCTGTACTGGATATTGTGGCTGGGGTATTCCAACAGTTTTACATTTTTTAAAAGAGTTTTCTTCCTCTCCTGATGCACTTGGGAAAATAAATTATGCAAAGGATTCCTCTTTAAGGTTCCCAAGGCATTCCAGGCTTTCTCTTTCTTCCAAGCAAAAACTGGCTCATTGTTTCATGTTTCTTGGGATCACACACTTTGGAAGAAAACTGTGTCCCCTTCAGTTATTCTGAAGGGCTTCAATGCACTTTGAGATGCTGCCTCTTTTATAGAACTGCAGTACACATCTAATGCTATTCTGTTATAGTTTCATTCAAGAGCATAAACAGAATATGGGTTCCACATCTCATCACACTGACTTTCTACATTTTTGCCATTATTTTATATTTATCAACAGTATATTATCCATCCACATGGCAGGTTCAACAGCAAGCCTTCCGTAGAGAGACTGTTATTACTATCTTAATGGCTTCTACTGAGCACAACCCACATTCAATATATTTTGGTCTCATTTGTTCAACAGTCAAATTAAACATTGACCTGAATTCAGGAACCCTAACCTTGGATTCATGGTATCCTTCTTCCTGTAAACTACAGTATGCTTTTTTTAAAACTTCCATGCCCTTTCCCCCTGATTCCTTGACTACCTTGATTTACAACTACGTATATAAATACATAACATATTTGATGAGACTATCCATTCTACATCCTTCATGGGTGGACAAGGATAGTCCTTTTGTCTACGAACGTTTCTGCAGTCTTTAGTACTTACTTGCCCCTGAGCATTGGTCAGGATCTGTCCTGTTATCCCCTGCACACTGGAGATGGTGTTTGCAATCACTGGTGTGGCAGCCAAGGAGCTGAGAAGCTGGGTTTGTGCTCCAAGAGAAGCTGCACTGATCTGTAGGAGAAAACAAAAGCCAGGGAGGCAACATTATACGTAGGCTTCCACTGCATTTGTCTTCATGGTTTCTCTGCTTTTGCTTCTTCCCCTGTTTCCTTCAAAGTGAGGGTTCAACTACACTCGGCAGCAAGACAATTATGAACTGATCTGCTGATAATCACACCCATGGAAATCATGGGTTTCCCTGGGCGAAATCACTATAGCTGTCCAAATCAAACTGCAGGAGTCCGCACAGCATGGGCAGAAAGCTCTAACTGCAGAAGTGGCCTTAAGGGGGTAACAAATGCTAACTGGCAATTTCCTCCTGCTTTTTAAAATTGTTCTCCTAAGGGCCCTAGTGAAAATATTTTCCAGCACTGAATTGAAACTGGTTTTGTTTTTGTTTTTAAAGAAATGGTTTGGAGACTAGTGGTGCTCAGTTGAGGGGAAATTATATCCCCTCATGTGCCCCTTCGCATCGAATCAGGCAATCACACTGGGCAGAACAAATTTAAGCCACCCCTGATGGCTGAACAAAAAAGACTATTCCCCTCTCAAAAGAGACGATTCCAGAACAGGCTTCCCTGCACTCAGCTTTACATCGCATAGTCACTGGGCCTTAATTCAAATTCATCACTGACCACTCTGACATAAATTGCAGGGTGTATAGCCAATTTAGTCACCCCCTGAGGATGACAGTACTAGCCTGCCTTGCAGAGCAGTGACAGTCACAACTGGGGTCATGAATGCAGAGTGTCCAGAGCACTGTAAAATAAGGATGGCACAACGAGGACCTGGCTCTATATGTGGCACCTGACGGACGGTCCTAACCAATTTCAATTTCAATCAAGTTCTGTGAGAACCTTCGCAGTTTTGTATTTATATATCTAACCATCCACACCAGAAAGCTGCTGTTCTCATTTGTAACAGAAACATTTGAAGAAGGAACTACCTCCTCAGAGAGACCAGAGAATGCAGAGCCTGTTGGCCACGCTGCACAAGGTGCAGGAGATCATAGACCAGATCAGGATTATACCCACTGAAAAAGTTGCCCATTCCTACAATGAACCCCACGCCTCCAACACTTAAGCTAGCTAACAATTATATGGATAATGATATTGTCTCTTTAATTATGTAAACTGCCTTGGGTCCTTTTTAAGGAGAATGGCAGGGTAAGAATATTTAAAATAAACAAATAACCACCACCACCACCCCCAAGTGGTTTTATGGCCTTACTATTCCAGAGTTAAAGGCAAATCCTGCTGGTTGAACTGTTATCTGAGTTTGAGTTTCCAGTGGCTTGGCGACAGGTGGGGTGGAGGTGGTGGTGGGCTGGGGCAAAATAGCTGGCTGTACTTGAGGCTGGAAGACAGTCTGTGCTTGGACTGCTGGCCGTGGCTGGACGGCTGGCTGGGCCTGGATAGGCTGGGCCGCCGGCAAAGGGGCTTGTATTGCCGTGTTCAGCACTGCAGCAGCTGCGGGAACAAGATGAAAACAGAGGAATTCAACACTGACACGACGACGTGGTGCTTTTTTTTTTTTGGCTCCTGCCCTGAAAATTAAAATGGTCCCACTATCCCTTGTTTTTAATCTATGTGTACTGTGGGCCCCATCGCCCCATAGCAGCTATTTCTGAACTTCCTGCTGCACCATCATGGCTATAAAAACTGCTGTTTTTTGCTTCAAAGCAAGCTGTGTTTCCAGGCACAGTCCAGCTTCTAAACAAGGTGGGCACTCGCCATGCACCTTGTTTTAAACTGAAAGTGAGAGCAGAGATGATACCAAAATTCAACACTGGAGTGACAGGTGGTGCATGTTTACAGCCCCTGGTGTGTCAGAAGGGTGCTTACGTAGGCAAAGTATGGCGCTATGCCTTAAGGCTAAAGCACAAAAGAGATACCAAAGAGATACTTCATTGATGCCAAACTGGCTTGAGATAAAGGCTATCCAATACAGTGGCATTTGTTTGTTTATACATCATTATATCAGTGTAAGCAGATGAAAGCTTTTGTATCACACAGAAATCTCTCTCTCTCTCTTCAGTTTCCAAGTTTCTCTCTGCTGCTGAAAGGTGTTGCTTGATGTACCCCTATGGTTGCTATGGCGTCGCTCACAACTGACAGCAGTCACTGTATTTTCCTGACTAAGCAACGCTGTCTTAGAAGAATTTGTAGAGGTTCTGGGTTGAGGCCAACACACCTGCTGAGGTCCAGCAAATATAACATTTGGCCCATGGAGTTTTACATGACCTCTGGCATGCTGCTGTGCCCTCTTGGAAGGAACAAGGTCTCTCCTTGTGCAAAGAGGTTCTGGATACTTTCTTGCAGAAACCAATAACACATAAACAAGTCACTGTATGTGTTGTTTGACTCAACAGGATTCTGAACTGAAACATTACTTCTTTAAAATATATCAACGGAGTAAAACTGATTTGCTTGGAATTTCTAGCTCTGAAAGCGACCAGGCATAACTGCAACAGATAATCTATTGGGCATGTTAAGAGCCTCAAACAGAATTTGCTACGCCTACGGAAATTGATTCATGAAGGGAGTTCTGCTACCCATGTGAACTCATCCATTCACTGCAGGGGAGGCGGTGGAAGTGCCTCCCACTGGATTTGATCCCTCTACTAAAGTAAGTGGGAAAGCTCAGTCACAATATGAACATGTCTGTGAACAAGTACAATAACAACATAAGTTGCCTATGTCAGCTTCTTGCAATATTCTGACAGCCTATAGCATCTAGTCTAGCCTTCCATTTCCCAACCCAGAGGCATCTGTCAAGCATGATATGTGCAACGGCAGGTTTCCTTTCATGATCTTGAACCACTGGTATTCAGAGGCACGCTGCTCTGTTTATTGGAGGCAATAGATATTAACTGTGTCTAATAGTCTTTATCTTTCAAGAATGTCTATTCTTACTTTTAAATCAATGACCACGTAGAGACAGTGTGATCTCTCTGCTTAGCTAATGAAGCTAAAAACATCACCAGATGCTCCTTCCAATGAGAATCCCTTTTAGATGAATGCTCTTGAACTGACACCATCTTTCATAAGGCACACAAAATCTTTCAGGATCTTCCTAGAGCGATTCTGTGCGTGAAATGGGGTCATTGCCCCAGTAAGTGCTTTTTGCCCCCAAGGCAATGTGAAAGGCACTCCTCTCAAGAGTTGCAATTAATTCCTCTCCCACTAGTTTCAAGAAGGGTGTGAAGACGTAACTCTTCAAATTGGCGCTCTGAACTGTTTCCCTGATTTCTGTGACAATTGCAATTGTTTTTATTATTGTGATTTTAATTATTTTTATCAGGAGTTCAATGGCTTAATTTTATTTTGTAAGCCGCCCCGAGTAGACATGGTCTAGAGGGGTGGGGTAAAAATCAAATAAATAAATAAATAAATAGATAGATAGATAGATAGATAGATAGATAGATAGATAGATAGATAGATAGATAGATAGATAGATAGATAGATAGATAGATAGATATTAATTGCATACTCTGCTACTCCTCTGTTTTTAGCTGGTTTGTAATGTTATTTTTAACCTGTTTTTGTGAGACCTGTTAGCTGCCTCGATGGTTACATTTTTTTAGGAGAAAGACAAAGTATAACCGTAAAGAAGGAATCAATGGATGAATGGACGAACAAACAAATGAATGACCTTCTAGGAGACAGTGGGTTACCTTGCAAATTGGCTATAGGTGATTTGAATATTCCCCCAGTAGGAGAGGCAGCCGTCAATCCTGGGAGGGCAGCCACCGTTGCTGCAGGAAATGTCCACACAGCCAGCCCCTGCTGACTTGCCACTTGACCTGCAATACTGATGGGGATAAGAAGAGGTTGAGTAACTGCCCCTGCTGGAACCATTACGCCTGTCACAACTGTTGCTAAGTTTTCCTGAGTCAAGACCTGCAAAAGTAAACAAGATTTAAAAAAGAAAAGGGAAAGAACAAGATCAACGCCACTGCAGACAGCCATCAGTGCAGCAGTCACGTTCACGAGCCCACTGGAGGCCCCGCCCAGCCAGGAGGCGCCTGACTGAGCTGTGCCATGTGTGGCTTTGGCCGCCCCGTGCCAGCAACTGGGCAGAGCCCACTCTGTAACACCCAAATGGGGGGGCTTGGTGGCAAAGTCCGCGTTCTTGTCAGACGGGGACGTTGTGGACAGCCCTGAAGAGTCACTCTAGGCTGCCTTTCAAGCAAACCCATCACCGCCACCCCAGCAAAATGCCAAGCAGCAAATCAGAGGAAACCACTGTTGCCCGCTGCTGTGCTTCCACTAGAGCAGTGGTTCTTAACCTTTGTTACTCAGGTGTTTTTGAACTGCAACTCCCAGAAACCGCAGCCACCAGAGCTGATGGTGAAGGCTTCTGGGAGTTGCAGTCCAAAAACATCTAAGTAACAAAGGTTAAGAACCAGTGCACTAGATTTCACCACCACCACCACCACCTCAACAGCTTGAGAGCATCCTGAATGACCCTCTGGCACAGGAACAGAAGGTCCGTTTGTTCCTGTTTGTGTGAGTCACACAGAGTAGTGCAGCTGTACCACATGCTTGATAGAGCTCCTGACCACTGGTTCGCCTGCAGATGTACTTGACAGCCAGGGTCCCTAAGATTTTCAAGACATATACTGCAACCCAATATTGGGCTTGCTCCTCGTTAAGCTATGTAGCCAATTTGCCTGCTAAGAACAGCTCCCATCCCAAGAAGGAGGCTGAACCATCCTCACCAGAGGATCCTTCATCAGTTCTATACCAGCAGGCTGGCTGGGATGCTTATTTTGGAAAATGAAAATACTCTGCTTCTCTTTGGAGCTACAAACGGCACCACAGAGAGACCTGAGGAGGAGAGGCAGAAGGAAGGAAAACTTGTTTTCCTCTAGATGACCGTGGTTCCCAACGTTGGGTAACCCAGGTGTTACTAGACTACAACTTTCAGAAATCCTGGCCAGCACAGCTAATGGTGAAGGCTTATGGTAGTTTTAGTTCAAGAACTTCTGGGGATCCAAAGCTGGAAATCACTGGTCTAGAATGATATGGAGTGCACACACTAAATAGCACATCATACGCCCCACCTATTTCTTAGTGCCTCAGCTTCAGTTCTTAGCCCTGGGGGTTGACATCCTAGCATTTATATGCTGTGACTTGGGACCGTTGCTCTCTAGATAAATGCCAGAGCAAGGAAAGAGAAAGATTTAGTGCTGAATGTCTTCCAAGCTGAAAAAAACAGAACCAAAGGCCTTCCCGCACAATCAACTGGCTCCTGATCCAACTGCAATTTATTGGCCTGTGTGTGTCACCTGTGTCCCAAAGCAGTGCAAAAAGTAATATATCTCATCCCAGCATAAAACAGCGGAAGTTGTGGGGAGGGGGCTGTCTTGATGTGTGTCAGATAAAAATACAACCACAGAAAAAGATCAAAATTTGCTGCAAAAAAATCATTTTTATGCTTAGAACTAGAAAAAAGCAAAGCCAGGTGAACACTACATTTTTCAAGCTTTCCATTTTTTCCCCAGTTGCATTGCCCTTCTCCAGGAAAGATACACAGTAAATAAATAAAAAACTACCTGTCAATGTAAAAAGGTGGAGGGAAAGAGGGAATATCTTTAAAGTAGGAAGATGTGGCCCTCCAGTCATTATTGGAGAGCAATTCTTATTAAAACCCACAGAAGATGTAGGCTGGGACTGATTTTATTTATTTTGTTTCATTTCTGGGCCGCCTTTCTCCCAGTGACGGGGCTCCAAGGCAGCTCATGTTAAAATAAGTAATCCTAAAAACACAATAAATGGCAGATAAAAAAGCCACTAAATTACAAAAATTGATGTAAATCACAGTCTAATAAAACATGGTTTCTGAGCAATAGGCAAAATCTTAAACCACCTAAGAACATTTTTACACTTTAAGAACAATAACAAATGCAAATATATTCATTGTGCGGAAAGGCCTTGAGATGTCCCTCAGTTTTCCTGAGCTTGATGACATGTGAACACCTTGATTATTAAGGAACTGCAGGAAACATCTGATCTGAGAGAAAAAAAATGTATCTCAACTCTGAAACTCAGTTTTTACAGGTCAAGGACAAGTTTATTTTCAAGGCAAATGTTTTCTTGTGTATGACCTGGAGCAGAACAGTATATCCATTGTACCCTGACAAGAGGTGGTATAGTTGTATTGTATGCAACCTACAGCACTCTGACCATGCTAAACAGACAACGAAACAAAGAAAACAGCCACTAAGAAACAATGGAAGAAGGCATTTGATTTCTACAGAGTCTTCTTGGACAGACACTTGTGAAATAGACATGCTTTCTAGAGCTCCACATGACATAATTCTTTCAAAAGAACTGAACTCCTAAATGCTAGAGCGCTGATGATTTTGGATGTTTGTTCAGTAACTGCAACAACTCCATGACGGGGTGTATGTGTGTCTTTCGACAACCGTTTTTCTAGTTAAGGATCGTGCCCACGTGTGGCTTTTTGACCCACTGCTGGTCACTCCCACCCCACTGGAGAAATCAAATGCACCGTTTCCTCTGTTCTCTGGCCAAGAGGCTACTTTCCACAATATGGACACAGAACTGTAGAGTAGTTACCTGTGGTGTCGTTTGGACCGTGACGGGAGTTATTGTTTGTGTTTGCTGGCTTGTTACTTGATTGAAGGGAAGAATTCCGGGGATGGGTGCAGGAGTTACTTCAGGCAATGATTTAACTTCACCTTGGGGAGGAAGAAAGAAGTTACACTCTTTACCCATGCAGATGTATCCAAAGCATGTCAAATCACCTATTACTAAGGCTTGAAGACTACATGCATAACAAGTGGCCTTATCACCACTGGCACCTCCTCCACATCAAAAAAAGGTGAGGCACAATTTAGGCTTAAAGGTTATGTCAGTCTTTATCAATCTTTTTAAAACCATGTCCCCTTGGGAATAACCATAAACATCTCACGCTCCCTTCAAATACGCCTCCCCTGATAATGTTATTAGAAACCTCAGATACTGTACTATGATTAAAATCAAAACAAAGTATTTGTAAATTTAGAAAGAGCCTGCACAGACGGGTATATATCTCGCTATTTGGACTGCTTTTAGTGCAGTTACTGCAGCCCGCCGAATGATGGCCACAGGAAAAGGTGGAGAAGGGGATTATTTCACGTCCCCAGCCCCCTAAATTGAGTGACAAATGACAGCATCTCTCCCCTCCCCCACATTATTTTTGTCTTAGTGGTTGCTTGGGAGGAGGGATGAGACGCGTGGAAAGTAAATAAATGCAAGCACTGGATTGGAGACTGTCTCTCTGGAAGCAGCATTTCCTGATTAAAATGGACCCCTGACTCTTCCCAAGATGTGAGCTTCTGCAGCTTGCCATCCTGAAGCTCAAAAAGCATATTCACAGTGGTCCTAGATTTCCCAGGTTGCTAACTCTGGACACTACATCAAGTGGATATCTTTATGTAAATCTGGGCTAAAGCTCTCTGTTCCTAGATTTAGAGCTGTTAGAAGTCTTTGAGAACGTGGGGTGTGCTTTGTCCCAGAGGACATGCAATCCCAGACTTTGCGAGAAGGCTCCTCCAAATGCTTTTAAGAGTCAAACCTGAACAACAGGTGTGCTACTCCTCAGAACAACAGATCACTGGGGTGTGTAACTCTGTACTCAGGATAGCTGATTAATTTTTAAAGCCACCGTAGGGAACAGCATAGGAGTAAGTTACTTTAGCCTTATCAGCTTCACATTTAATTTGAGCCTCAGAAAGGGGACTCAGGGGCACTCCGGTCCCATTAGCTGAATCCACTAGATTGCTGGATGAGGTTGGATGGCAATGGCCATCGACTCAAGCCCAGAGCCAAAGGGCAAGAGATGCAGGGGGCTGCAGTCCACTTACATTTGGAAGGCCCCATGGTCTCTATCCCGACTCTAGGTAGAATCTACCCAACCAGGCAGTCATGTGATTTGGAGAAAACGAGTAATTTCTTGCTTCCTTCTGTATAACCATATTGGGGCAACTGCTGCTCTCTAGGCTGAGCCACTTGACATGGCCTTGGCACCAGCCAATGGAATTCCCTCTTAACCAGCTGCCTTCTGCGCCCGCTCACCTGTCCACAACCAGCCTGGTCTACTCTGCTAAGGCAGCCTTTGTCCCTTTGCTTATGAAGCCCTACTCTGAGGTTGGCACTCTGTCTGCACATGAACTGGGCAGCCACTTGCCGCCATCCATCACGGACACCCAAATCCTCCACTCACAGCCTGGTCCAGGAACAGAGCATCAGGAAACAGACCGTGGACATGCACACGAGTAAGTGGCTTTGGCTGGTGAATGGTTCATCCCTTGTCTGAAATCCTTCTGACATCCCAAGACCAACCACTTGGCTTTTCAGTCACTCCTTCCTTCCTTCCTTCCTTCCTTTGTTGTTTGTTTGTTTTTTTCTAATCACAGAAGATACATTAAAATTGAAAAGGCAGAAGAACTGCCAAACGTCTGATGACGGGGGCTGTGCTCTAAAAGCAGTACCTCCTCCTACAGAAAGGAGCACCAGAGATATTAGCAAGCATATGAAGACCAGCTTCAAGGTGATGGTTCTAACATATAAAGCCCTAAATGGTTTGTGACCTTGATACCTGGCAGGACACCTCCTTCCAACGAGAACTGGCCATCCTACTCGCTCCTCCCAGGCTGGAAGTTTTCATTTATTTTTTATTTATTTTATTTCTAGACCGCCCAGAGTGGCCTTGGCTGCCAGACTCTGGAACTAACACCTTCCCCCTCTCTACCTGGCCTCTTTGTCCCTGGTGACTTTTAAGAAGCTGTTAAGAACTTGGCTATTCCAATAGGCCTTTTACCCCATTTCATCAACACCACCCAGCGGAATTATTAGCCATTAAGGCTACAATGCCACCATTTTAAATGTTTTTAGGAGTACCCAGCTTCTGTGGGGGGGGCAATATGTAGCCTGTATAATTAACTTGTCAACCACCCAGAAAGTGCTTTAAGTGCTATGGGGCAGTATAGAAGCAGCATACTTTGCTTTGCTTTTTTATGTGTTTTAATTATGTTTCATTATGCTAATCTTTTATATTAATGCTTTATTAAGGTTTGTTGTGTAGGTTTTGACTGACAGACAGATAGATAGGTAGATAGATAAAGCAGGTTTATGTGTTTTAATTATGTTTTATTATGCTAATATTTTATATTAATGCTTTATTATAAGGTTTTTTTGTGTAGGTTTTGACTGACAGACAGATAGATAGGTAGATAGATAAACAGGCAGGAAGACAAAATATGAGAAAGCCAAACCCTGGAGTGTCACCTGGGGAAGACGTGGCCTGGGAGAAGACCTTCCGAGGAACAAAGGTCCAGATCTGAGCTACAACCCTGATTGTAAAAAACTCAACACCCACTTCCCATAATACAGGAAACAGCAAGCATTTTCCAAACACAGAATCTTCTTTTTTTCTGCAAAGGGACCTTTATGAGGCTAAGGGGTCACTCACTTAGCTGACCTCGTTCTGACCATTCTCCTCTGAAGCAATCCTTTGGCACATTATAATTTGACCCATATCTTATAATTTTAAAAGGTCCAAACATAATCCTCTGGAGGAAGGGGATCCACAGAAAAATGGAAGTACCCAAAAGGACTACTTACCACCTGACTCTCCACAGGCCTTCTCTGAGTTTGGCTCTACTGTTTCCCTTCCTGTTTCATTAGATTCTGGAGGGCAGCTTGTAGGAGCCTCCCCACCTCCAGCTGCTGTTATCTTCTTAGTTTTCTCTTCGTTCTCTGCTGGGAGGGGCGCGTCCACCCCCACCTCTAGTACCCTAATTGTTTCGTGACCTGACATCACAATCACCTGAGGAGAGACAGCAAAGAATGAGAAGGACTGGCCCCAAGTTCAAATGAGCTAGGTGGACCAGTGATCTGATTTACTGTGAGAGGTATGTATGTTTATGGCCACTGAGCATGCACGGTGGCCACAGGTATGGCTGCAACGCAACCCTACCACTTAAAACCCAGGGCTCAACTCTACATTACACTGGAGTTCTGGAGCTTATCTCCTACAGGTGAGGGCCACAGGCCATGAGCAACTGATGTCTGCTTGATTCTGAACAGGAAAATGAAATTGGGGTGGGATGAATTACATCTGACATCCTCAAATCTGAACAAGTGGGGAGACCTTCTGAAGTTGTATTCTATCAATCATCCTCACCTAATGTTCTCCACATGGATTAGACTACAACACACATCATTCCCAACAACAACAACAACAACAACAACAACAACAACAACAATAATGTGACACTAATTCAGTTCTAACTTATGGCAACCTTTCCCAGGGATTTCTAGGTACAGAATACTCAAAAGTGTCATCTGTGAAGATGTTCAGTCATCCAGGTGAGGTTATCTGGAAGTTGAGTCATGGCAACTGGACTTGTTTCTCGTTAGGTGAAACGGTTTGCTACTCAAGACTGAAGAAGCTCCTTGGATGAGCAGCAAAACATTTCAACCTAACAAGAAAGAAGTCCAGTTGCCATGACGCAATCTCCAGATAATATTCAAAAGTGGTTTATGACTTCTCTTCTCCCCACTCGTGACTGTGCAGCTTGCCCAAGACCACATAGGCTGGTGCTTCTGCTACAAGACAAAGTAAAGAATCAAACTCCTGACCTCTGGCTCCATAGCTAAGTACCAATCCCACTGAGCTGTCTAGGTAGCATGGGAATCTCTATTTCCATTGTCTCTTTAATCTTTGTTTGCTTGTTTGCAAAACTCAAAATATCCTTGTTCCCTTTCTGATCTGAATGCACATGTATTCCCACTTCAGGGACAGTGACCACGTTAGTTGAAGGCAATGTGAGGTATATTCCAGCTCACCCAGAGGGCAGCCAAACAGGCAACAGGTAGATGTCAATGATGTGTACAAGAGATACATATATGCAAACATACAAACAAGGCAAAGGGGGGTGGGTGGGATTTAATGAGTCTTCTGCAGAACAGGCAGCTTAATGCAAATAAATGGCACCTCAATTGTTATGGAGAAGTCTCTGGTGTTGATCACTTTCACAAAACTCTGCCCATGGTCCCAGTGCCCCTGCAGCATCTCTTGACGCCATCCCGCCTGTGAGACACAGAGAGTCACCCACCTGCTCGTTTACTGTCATGGAGGCTTCTTGTGGGGGAACAGTTTCAGTGTCCATGACTGATGGCTGGAAAATGTGGAGGGCACCTCTGGTGGGTCACATACTGCAACAAGAAGACACACCCAAACACACACGTCACTGGGACACTGCCTACTACAAGCCGGTAACAATTATTGCTTCACACAGGAAGGATTTAAGGCGCTGCTGACGGAGTTTGATGGCCTGTTTAGTAAAGTTTTTACAAGAAGAACAGGAGGCTGGTTGGTGCGATTCGCCCAGACAAAAAAGGCATGAATCGTGGCCGTCAGAAACAGGCAACTTATTTGTGCACGAAGTGCAACTCTTAAACGGCTCTGCGGGGGCCATAAAAGGCCAGAAGGGAAGAAAAAAAGGGGGGTAGGAAAGTAGTGGTAAAGGGTCTGAAAATCTCTAAAAGTCTTACAAAAACAGTATTATGAAACAGTCTACAACAGCAATACGATCTATTAAATTTCCTCAGGAAAAAGAACCAAGATGCACGAATGGAGAGCTCAGTAGAAGATGAGATCTCAGCAGCGGCAAAAAGGAAGTGAGGTAATCGCCAGGACGGGCAGACCCCGTGCACTAGGGGGGCAGGTCCTGGTGAACGCATGTTTGAGCTCTAGAATATTCCGGAGACCCCTGCACAGGCACAGATTAAACCCATTAGTGTGCATTCACAGAGACCACGAAGAAGAACACAAGTATTGAGCGCTATACATTGCATGGTCTCTGGCTCCTTCTAGTGTCGCCAGTTCTGGTAAATATACCCTGGAAATACATATAAATACAAATTTATGGGGCTTTTTATTTAGTATAATCAGGCAGCAGATAAGTGAAACAGAGGAAACTGACCCTGTGGATTGGGGGGGGGGGCTGTTTCCTACTGTAGTCTATAGCTCCCAAGTGCCTCTTTTCCTACCCTGCAATAATTTATGGGGCTTTTTATTTAGTATAATCAGGCAGCAGATAAGTGAAACCGGGGAAACTGATCCTATGGATTGGGGGAGCTGTTTCCTACTGTAGTCTATAGATCCCAAGTGCCTCTTTTCCTACCCTGCAATGCAATTCTGAGTCTGAAGAGCTGAACTGATTTAACAAAGCTAGGTATTTTCTGATCAACTCCTTGTAAATGTGCAATTCCTGATCCCCGACAACAGTCACAACCACTCAACTAAAGCTGCAAGTGCAGTTATTTTTCAAGATGCCAAAGTAAGAGAAATCTAGGCAACAGAATAAATACTCTATCCCTAGTCTATCATGTTCCAATCAAGGAGAAAGCTTGCTGTTTCTTAAGTTGCAAGAATTATGGATTCCTCAGAAAAGAGGAAGAACTGGATATAATACAACAAATGAAAAGGGGTATGTGATCATGGTGAAAGCTGGCAAACAAGTTCTGATCCAGAGACTTTCCATATGAAGTCAAATCCTTCATGAAACCCATAAATCATTTTTTCTCTTATATTATCATCTTACATGCTTCATCTTGAGCTTTCTTGTGTTAGACTGCTACCAGAGAGAGAGAGAGAGATCTTATTAGAAGCACCAAAGTTCCTCTCGAACTTTTCCATTAAATTGTTTGGACATGTACTGTCCCTTTACTGCCTCTTGGAAAAGTAATTGCCTTTATAAAGCATCTTATGCATTTTTTATAAGGAATATCTACAATGCTCTTAGCAAGCTTGCCTGGATGACATTCAAATCTAGTTGATGTGTGCAGGAAGACATTCTTATTTTTGCATCCTATACAGGGAGACCACAGGTTCCAACAACTGAGATCATCAAAATGGCAGCACTTGAGAAAATATTGTACACTGGAAGACTGAATGCTGAAGACACTATCTCCTACTTCCTTTATTCACTTTTCCTGCAGTCTATATTTTAGAAGAGTGGTTCCCAACCTTTAGTTCCCAGATGTTCTCGGTCTGCAAGTCCCAGAAATCCTGGACAATGCAGCTAGAGGTGAAGCCTTCTGAGAGTTTTAGTCTACGAACATCTGGGGACCCAAAGCAGGGAACCACTGTTTACAGGGAACCACTGTTTTAGAACAATGTCTCAGCATCATAATGTTCTGTCATTCTTCAAACGTTCCCTTCTCCCTCCCGTTCTCACTGTCCTCCTTCTACTGCACCAGCTGAAGATCAGACAATCTGTGTTTATTATGATACTTTCCTTATTTTCCCCAAATCTATTTCCCAATGTTGCGTTTCAGACTGACCTTTTTCTAGTCTTCTATTATTTTTACACAAGCATGCACTATGTGTTTACAGTGGCAGACAGTAGAAACAGATTTACAACTCCACCTCCTATAAATGAAAACTTGTCAGGTTTGCAGCTATATACAGTGTTGAGTTTGTAACAATGCAATGCCCCTTCATTCAACTTCTTAATTCAACTCTGCAGCGAGCTATGAATTGTGTGTGCGCACAATCTATTTGTACCTTGTTTCTCTTTCCAAAAGACATTCTAAAGCAACTAACATCATATGAAAACAATGATAAGAACATTAAACACTGTGTCTTATATTCTAGCACAATTTTGTGTGATACAACTGTTGTGGGCATTACACCAGCCCAGAAATTTATAGAGCTCTCCACTGGCACAAAGCTGCATGAATTATAAAGTTGTCTGCTCAAGCATCTTCACTCCTCTCTCATGCTGCACAAGCATATACTTCCTTGTTCTAATGGTCCCCAGTATATCAGCTTCCATCTTGGCCCTTACCTGCTGTAATGGCAGCAGGGAGTACAGTGTTTTGTGCCAGCACGAGTTCTCCAAGGACCCACCTCCTCCATTGCTAAAGACCTCATGCTAAAGACTCCTTGCCTGGGACGCTCAAAGGCCCACCGGGAGAATACAGAGACAAAGAGGTGCTAGACTCCAGGTTAGCCAGAACAGGATCTCAAAATGAAGCCAATCTTCACCGAGATGTTGTTGTCTGAGCAAGGTCTGCACCACAACATAAGGCTCTTGTCTGCTCTAAAAGCTATGGGAGCAGGTTTTCTGCCTGGGAGCTGTCCAAATACTGCAGATCTGGACTCCGGATGACAGCAACGTCTCACTGCCAGCTCTTGCCTCACTTTAATTAATGTGTTTAATTTTAATTAATGGTGTTTTAATCAATTGTGTTTTTATTATCCTTTTATTATTCTGTTTTAATGATAAACCCTTAATGTACTTTTTTTATACATGTATATTTATTTTTTGCCTTGTGTTCCTCTATTGGAAGAAACACAAGATATACATAAGTAAGTAAAGTAAAGTAAGTAAGTAAATTGCTGCTTCCTGGCAACTCTACCTTCGTATTCACTGAGCACATCTTCCTGCCTCACAGTTTCGAAGGGCCAGGCCAGGTCACCATGAATTGCAGTTGGGTGAGGGTGCTGAGAACTCTGTTAGCAATCCACAGCCCCACATAGACCCCTAGAACAACCAGAGTTCCCTTGGAAGAGAGAATGGCTATTTAAGACCAATTTAAGTTTGCGCTGTGAATATGTCTGGGGTGGGCTGTGGGGAAGACCAAACACTTGTACCCTTAAAAGGAAACTCCTATATATATGCAACCATAGTAAGGAAGCCCATCGAAAGAACTACTGTTAGATCTACTCATTTCTGAATATGAATGTGACCACAAAGCCCGAAGATAGCCACAGTACGATAACTGACACGCTAAGAGATTTATCATTTGCAAAGAGACTCAGATCTTTCAGTCCCTCCCCCTGGGACAGAGTCAAGCAGAGAGCTATTTTTTGATGCTGCGCAGAGACCAATTAGCAAGAAGAGGCTATTAAAACAGATACCTCAGAATGTCAAGCTCTGTGCATGTTCTGTGGCTCACAAGTGGGCTGGATCTCATTTAGCAGACATTCTGCTGGCTTGTAGTAGCATTTTTGTCTTGCTTCTTCACACATTTTTGCCATTAATGGGACAAATATATATTTTTGCCCAGATGGCAATGCTAAGTGTGCAATGCAAGAAAAACAGCCTTTTCGCAGCAGATGGTGCCAAAGAGATGAAAAATTAAAAGGAGAAGGGAAGGGGGTGGTTTCAACACTTCTAGCCTCACAGTGAATATAATTTCCAAGTTTAATTATAATTTCCAATGAGTCAGAAATATAAATGTCCCAGATAGAATTCCAGGGGGAATCTTATCTCAAACACACCACAGGTAAGAAGAGCATTGTCTGCTGAGAAGCACTCACTTTTTATCAGAAAGAACAGTCATGATTGAAACAGTGTCCCAGATCTTATTTAAATCCAAGGGAGCTGACCTTTAACCAGAGAGTAAGACAGAGTCAGACCTAGGCAGAAATGCTCTTCCAGTTAGAGAAAGAGGATTTCCAAGAAAGCTAAAAGCATGCTGATAGAGGTGTTGCTTCTTCTGTCTGTACTTCTGCTATAATGTGTGAAAAGTTCACCTTATATGGAGGGAAAACGTGCCTTGATTCTCCAAGAGGAGATTCACAAGTTACATGTAACAATGGGATGCCAAAAGAGGAAGTCAATCGTATTTCATTTCCTGTCCTTGCTTTAGGACTAGCAATCCAACTCTTGAAGAGCCCTGCCAAACGGCCATTGTCCAAGAATCCAAGTATGCCATTTCTGCTACCCTGTTTCCCTTAAGACCTAACCTGAAAATAAGCCCCAGTATGATTTTTCAAGGGACGTGGTGCCACTGTGGGTTAAACCGCAGAAGCCTCTGTGCTGCAAGGTCAGAAGACCAGCAGTCGTAAGATCGAATCTATGTGATGGAGTGAGCTCCCATCGCTTGTCCCAGCTCCTGCCAACCTAGCAGTTCAAAAGCATGCAAATACAAGTAGATAAATAGGTATTACCTTGGTGGAAAGGTACAGTAACGGTGTTCCGTGTCTAGTCGTGCTGGCCACGTGACCACAGAAACTGTCTATGGACAAACACTGGCTCTGCGGCTTGGAAATGGGGGTGAGCACTGCCATCTAGAGTCAGACACGACTGAACTAAATGTCAAGGGGAACCTTTATCTTTACCTTTATCATTTTTCAGGATGCTCATAACATAAGCCCTACCCCAAAAATCAGCCCCAGTTAAATGAAACCCCGCCCTCCA